TGAGCATCACCAACGTGAAACATCTTGCTAAAAGAAAGGATGCCAACTATTCATTAGATTATCAGCAACAAGAGTCTTGTTGCTGAAAGTACATGAGCTAACTATTCATTAGATTATCAGTAACAAGAATCATGTTGCTGAAAATTCAAAAAACTATCAGCAACAAGTGACTTGTGTTGTTGAAAATGAGGCCAAATTCTAATGTCGGATTTCCATTTTTTTTCACCGATTTACCACTAATTTTTAGCAACATGAGTCACGTTGCTAAAACTTCATCTTTAGCAACGTGGCTTATGTTGCTGAAAGGGGTGAGAAAATTTTCCTTCACCAGTCACCGGATTCCAGTGAAAATTTTCAACAAGTTATGTTGCTGATACTTTTTTTTCAGCAACATAGCTTATGTTGCTGATATATTAGCAACATGATTTTGGTTGGTAATGTATTATCCACCAAGCTTTCTCCAACAAAGCTTTTAACAAGCAAACCCATGTTACTAAATGACTTTCAGCAACATGGGAACCACTTTCAGCAACATGCTTCCATGTTGCTGAAACTAAGGATTTTAGTAGTGAAGATCAAATCTTAAAGCAGACCCCACGATAGACTTATATTTGCATCCCGAGAAACTAAAATTTCTTTGCTACTTGGTCCTAAAACTTGAACATAAATTATTTGTGAATTTGTGATGCGCTAGAGCTTACATCACATGATCACACAATTTTGAATAAATAACAAACCGATGGATCGATCGATTTTGGTCGGTGCGCTGCCAAGGCGCAAGGAAACCGCACGATAAAACGCGCGCGACATTATTTTGTACAATTAATTGCAAGTCTTTTCTTGCTTTCGTCTTGGAAAGGCTAACATAGAGCGAAATTTGCACGCCTTTCCAAACTTAAGAATATTATTGCAGTTGAATATTGATATTTATGGGCCCGAAAATTGGGGCGGGGAACGGAATTCAAATTTTTTAGTCAAGTATAAGTAGGCATGGTAACAAGGAGGAAAGTGTGTCCGCGACCCTGTCATCTTCAATTTTTACAAACTTCCCAGGCACGCGCGAGAGAGAGCTTGCAATATGGCATTTCCTGGATCAACGCAATCGAATAGATGTAAGAAAGCAAGAACACTGTTAAAAGACAGAAGGCATTGTGAATCTCCAATGAGGAGAATAATCAGCATTCGGGTATTTTAATGTTGTTTCGTTTTGATCCATTTTTGTTGTCATTTTGGTTAATTTGGTATTCATATGTTGCGGCATTTGGTTTTTGAAACAGAGGAGACGATCGATTCAGAGAATAAACTCGAAAATCAGAGAGCTGAAAGCAGAGATGCAAGAGATAGGTGAGGAACAGAGGAGCATTAGAATGGAGCAAAAGAAGGTAAGGGAAAAGTTTGAAGAAGTTGAATCAAAGTGCCAACAATTACGCAGGGAGAGTAGCCTGATAATGCAGCAGAGTGACAAAACCAGAGTCCGTTTGGGACTTATGCTGCATATCCTAAAAGCTAGAGAAGACAACGATTTGGCCAAAGCCACTCAGCTCACCCAGGTTCTTCGGTTGGTTTTAGTCCCTCTTCAATCTTCTTATTGGTCCTTTTAAGAAAAAATAAATAAATAGTAATTGTGCCGTTCTCATCATATAATAAGAGTCGGGGATCCACTTTTAAGACTAAGAGACCTACCTCCTTTTAATAGATTAAGTTAGACTATAAAATATATATATATATATATATATTATCTAATTGTTAACTGTATCTTTCTCTCCTTTTACAATGCAGTGAAGTTATAGCGAACCAGAATCAGAACCAGTGAACTGTGATATACCAGCTTTGAGTGAGAATGGCTAATAAATAATGGGGTATGTCAAAGCAGTCCAACAAAATGAAGAAAATTGCTTCGACTAGTGTTTGCTCTTTACCGCATTAATAAAGGGTTTTAAATGTGTGCGTGTGTTTTTATTTTATTTGGGGCATGTTGATTGTGTGTTATCCACTCTAAAGGAAATTATGATGTGAGATATAGAAGGCACAAGCTATTAATTCTGAAAGGTTTAATCCCAAATTGCCTTTAATTTTGGCCATTTTTGGTTATTGAACTCAAGGAGCTTTAAGACTTTCTGAGATTTTGGGCCAAATTATTTAGTTGGTGTCAAAGTG